TGTTATTTTCACAGAACAGTATCTCACTTGGGCTGCCATGCAAGTGGCAGTTGAAGCAGAAAGGGTACTAGACAGTAGCCATTGTCCGCACGGACAGAACTTCGTTACCCTTGGTGTATCTCACTGTGTGTGAGTTTTTGTGCTCACTGACATCTTCACTTCCTAACTTCTCTGCCTCTCTCCCTTTTTTTTTTGTCTCTGTTTCTCTCTTCTGGTACTTAAGATCAAATCCAGGGCCTTCACACTAGACTACATTCCTAGCTCTTTTTTTGCTTTTGTTTTTTTTTAGACTGTCTCGCTGGCCCTGAACTCACTCTGTACTCCAGGCTGGCCTAGAATTCCTGGGGATCCTCCTGTCTCAGCCTCCTGAGTCTGGGATTATAGCCATGCAACACCACACCCAGCTGTTTTCAACATTATTACTGTTGTTATTATTATTATTAGTAGTAGTAGTATTTGAGACAGGATCTTAGTAAGTCACTGTCTTAGTTACTTTTCTGTAGTTGCTGAGACAAAATACCTGACACCCAAAGTTAAAGGAGGAGGGCTGGAGATACAGCTCAGCAGCACAGCACCTTCCTGGCAAGTGCAAGGTTGTGAGTTTGATTCCTGGTACCACAAAACAAAACAAACCAGTGTTAAAGGAGGAAAGGTTTATTTAGCTCACAGTCTGCAGAGGTCTCAGTCTATGATTGGCTGGCTCCAAGGCAGGGTGATGTGGCAGATAAGGGGAAAAAGGCCATGGTGGGCAGAAGGACAAAACGAGTAAGGGACCACAGCTCTGTCTATCCCTTTTATTTTGTCCAGGCTACTTAGCATAGGTTGCCCTCACACTCTTGATGCTTATGTCCTTGAGCCTAGTATTGCACCATGAATAATTCCAGTGTCACCCACTCTAGATCCAGCCACCTCTGAAATAATGCCACCTACGACTGCATGAGGCTTTGTGGGGACATCTAGACACAAGCCATAACAGTTGTCCAGGCTAGCCTCAAAGTCATGACCCTCCCGCCTTAGCCTCCCAGACTGCTGGGATGCCAGGTGTGTGCTATCACACCTGGCTGTGAACTCTTTCTAAAATGCCCAGAATCTTATTTTATTTTATTTTATTTTATTTTATCTTTTGTCTTTTTGAGACAGGGTCTCACTATGCAGTTCAGGCTGGCCTTGAGCTCACTTTGTACCAGCCCAGGCTGGTCTTAAACTCACAATAATCTTCCTGCCTCAGCCTTCTGAGTGCTAGGATTACAGGTGTGCATCACCACTCCAGGCCCAGAATCTTCATTTGTTTTTAAGTTATTAATCTGAGGAATTATTATTATTTTTTTTATTTTTTGTTTTTTTTTTGTTTTTCTCCAGTACCAGGAACCGAACTCACGACCTTGCGCTTGCCAGGCAGGCACTTTGCTGCTGAGCTAAATCCCTAGCTCTTAATCTGAGGAATTATTAACTTGAGCAAATTTGAAACCTTTTGTTTTTATTTTCTTGAGATAGGGTTTTGTGTGCAGCCCAGGCTGGCCTTGAACTCAGGATCCTCCTGCCTCATCCTCCAGAGTGCTGGCATTGCAGGTGTGAGCCATTGTGTCCAGCAAATCTGAGGAATTCTGAGTTGCTCAAAAAGCTTAGGGAATCAGCACCCTGAATTACCTTTTCTTTTTGCATGGTGAGCTAGGTACCCTCTTATTGTCTTTGGCAGTACTAGGGACTGAACTCAGGGCTTTGTGCTAATCTACATCTCCAGTTCTCTCCCCTTTTAAAATTTTTTATTTTGAGACAGGGTCTTGCTAAGTCACTAAGTTGCCCAGGTTGGGCTTGAACTTGTGATCCTCCTGCCTCAGCCTACCAGAGTGCTGGGATTGGAGGCATATACCCCTCCACCCAGTTGTACTTGTCCTAAGTCGTAGCGTGCACCAGGTGTCCTTGAAGACCCGCCACATTTCATCTTCCAGCCATGTGGATTGTCTCCAACTTCGCGGCACAGAGGGCTGGAAGAGGCTGAGACTTTGGAAATGCCACCGGCCTCACAAGGCTCAGAGGGCTTGTCGAGTGTGGGCCACGCTGGCGGCATGGCTGACACCCGGCTGCCGGCTGAGGGTCCAGAACCTCGTTCTGGCCCTGAAGCCAGTGAAGGTTAGCAGCAACACCCAGACTTCAGTGTGAGAGCGCGTGAGTGTCCTGTGGCCGCTGAGACAAATGACCACCAAGTTTGTGTCTTGAAATAGCGTAAGTGTGTTACTCCCTTACACTCCCAGAAGTCACAAGTCCCAGATGAATGTTCAGGGCTAAAGTCGAGGTGTTGGCAGGGCTGCCATTCTTTTTTTTTTTTTTTTTTTTGGTACTGGGAATCAAACTCATGACGCTGCGCTTGCCAGGCAGGCATTGCACCCCTGAGCTGTATCCCCGGTCCAAGGGCTGCCGTTGTTGAGGAGAATCTGTTCCATTCCCTTCCCAGCTTCCAGAGGCTACAGGTGTGCCTTGTTCCATGGCCGCCTCCTTTTTTTGTTTTGTTTTGAGCTTGCTTCATAGTTCAGGCTGGCCTTGAATTAACTATGTAGCTCAAACTGGCCTGGAACTTGAAGCAATCCTCCTGCCTCAGCCTCTGGAATGCTGGGATGACAGGTGTGTGCGACTACATCCAGCATGGCCTCACTCTTCTAACCTCTGCTTCCGTGGTCAAGTGTCCTTCTCTGACTGACCTTCCTGCCCCCCTCCTCCACTCCCTGGGAAGGCCCGCCTCATGGCCTGCCTGAACCACCCAGCTCCTGGGACGATCTCCCAGTCTCAAAATTCCTAACCGGAAGCCAGGCATGGTGGCGCACGCCTGTAATCCCAGCACTCTGGAGGCTGAGACAGGAGGATTGTTGTGAGTTCGAGACCAGCCTGGGCTGGTACAAAGTGAGCTCAAGGCCAGCCTGAACTGCATAGCAAGACCCTGTCTCAAAAAAACAAAAAAATTCCTAACCACAGCATACCTGCTGACTCCCTTTGCTGCGGGAGGCACCACCTTCAGAGACTGGGTATGAGGGCGTGGATGTCTTTGGCGGCCATGATGCTGTGTACTACGTGGGGACAGAGTAGGGACTTCTGCCTGACCAGAGCTCAGCATGGTGCCGGAGAAACTGCAGAAACAAAAGATGAAACTGAACAGCTTCGGCTCGCGGCTTTCCAAGGCCGCTCCCTGCTGACAAGAGAAAGACCAAAGTCCTTCCGGTGGCCTTTGAGGTCCTCGTGTCACTCCTTGACCCCGTCCCTGCTCTCCCTGGCTCAGCCTGCCCTGGCTCCTTGGGCCTCCTTCCAGCTCCCCCAACACCCCCAAGGCTTCTCCCTCCAGGACAAATGTGTCCTTGGGATTGTCATCTCAAGTCTCAGCTCAAATGTCATTTCGGTCCCCACAGAGGGCCACCGGCCGTGATGTCTTCTCTCCCCAGCTCCCAAGGACTCTCCTGCGTTCATGGCCAGCAGCACTATCAGAAATTATGTTTTATTTATTCATGTCTTGTCTACACCCCCAGATGAGAATTCACTCTGCCTTAGACCACCAACCAGGGCTATGTCTTGGTTGCCGTTGGGCTCCCCCGGCTCTGAGTACCCCGTCCAGCTAAGGTGCCCGGGACAGGTCACTCCAGTGCCTGCCCAGACTTGGCCAGGAGGGAGCAGGCCGGGCGGAGGGGGCAGGGCAGCCCTGCCCGCCTGGACAGCTCGGAGGAAACAAGGCGGGAAAACGAGGCGGGAAAACCCAGCCAGCAGGCTCTGCGGGTGGGTGGGGAGCGCTGGCAGGCCCTGACGCCCAGCCATGGGATGGGGGCGATCAGGCCAGCTATGGGGTGCATACTGTCTTATGGTGAGTGGTCTCCCGCTTCTCCAGTAGTAGAGAGACATTGACTGTGGCCTGGCCAGTGGGTGCCCGGGGCGGGGGCTACGGGGACGGACTTAGAGTAAGGTCAGGGGTCTCCACATTGAGGTGATGTCCCTGTGCTGGGGGTCCCCCTAGGGGTCCTGTGAGGTGTGCATAGTGGGGAGTCCAGGTCCCACCACCTAACCCCCTGGCACGCTGGGTGCGCCCAGCAGAGCAGACAAGCAGGGCGGGGCCAGGGCCAGCTGGGCGGAGTTGGGGGGGGACAGAGAAGGAGGGGGGCGCCCCCCACCCCCTTTCCCGTTTCCCGCCACTGCGGTGGCCAATCAGGAGACAGGCGCTCGCCCGTGGCACGGCCTCCCGCGGCCCCGCAACTCCCCAACGCCGAGTTTTCGCGGGAAAAAAATCAGAGCAGCTGGTAGCGCAGCGGACGGCGTTGGCCGAACGCGCGCTCCGGGTCGCTGGCAGATCCGCGCGGGAGTCCGGGCCACGCACTGGGCGCCACCGCCGTCCCCAGCCGCGCAGGCCGGAGCGTTGCTTGGATCGCCGCCGCAGGAGAGGTGAGTGGCGGAGCCAGCCTGCGCTAGGGTCGCGGGCGCGGGGACTTGGCAGAACTTTCCCGCGTGGCCGGGACGCGCGATCAGTGTGGGCGCAGGCGTGCCCTGGAGCAGGGACTGCTTTGCACTCGGTCTCGAGATTCAAGGCCCGTGCCTTGGCACACCCGGCTTGGGCGAGGGCGAGCGCCACGCCGCGGCAGCTGGGCGGGGGTCGCGCGGGCTGGGTGGGGGAGGGCCCGGCGAGCCGCGGGGGAGGATGTCAGCCTCCGCGCCTGCGCGCGGGGCGCCCCGCGATTCAATTGTCGCGCCCGAGCCTGATTTCGCGCGCCCTGAGCTCCCTGGGCGCTTCTAGACCAATAGGAAGCGAGCGGGGCGGAGCGTCCTGAAACCGTGGAGCCAATAAGAGGACCGGCTCAAGTGAAGGGAGGCGGGACTTGGCGTGCTAGGCCCCTTGGTCTGTCCCGGTGGCGGTGGGCGTGGGCTTGCTGGGGCGACCCGCGCGGGCCGGTGAGAGTGAGGGAGAGGACGCCGGGGCTTGAGAGTTAGGTGTCCGGGGAGCGTAGCCCGCTGCGGGACTGAGGTGTGTCTCCCGGCACTCGGGCGGGGGCGGCCGGGACGGGGCGGCAGGTTGCCATGGCCACCGCGGGGCCGGCCGTGTCGCGCACGCGCGTGGGGGGCACGGAAGGGGCTGCCCGGGCTCCGGGGTCGCAGGTCTCAGGGAGTCCTGTCCTCTCTTTCGCACTTGGTTGAGTTACCGCTCCTTCTTTCTCCGTCTCCGGGGACTCCTGAAGTTCCAGCCTGTTCTGGACTTTTGCAGTTTACAAACCCTGGGAATGAATGAATGAATGAACTCCCCAGCGCGGCCACTCGTGGCGGGGCTGGACGTCCCCGGCCGCTGTTTGCGTGAGCACGGGGGTGGTAGATTACACTGGGTGGTCTGAGATGGCGTTTGTCCCCCCCTTTCTTAATCCTCAACAGTTGCTAGTCATTAAGGCAGTTAAGTCTTTAATTTCCTTTGCCTGGCCCTGGCCGGTGGCTGGCAGAATATAGGGACTGCAGATTCTCTAAGTGAACCCCTGCGCCCCAGTAACCTGGTGGTGAGAAACCTGACCTCGGGTTCTGCTCTGTCTCCCCCTCCCAGCACCGACACCATGTGGGTCCAGGTGCGGACCATGGATGGCAAGGAGACTCACACGGTGGACTCGCTGTCCAGGCTGACCAAGGTGGAAGAACTGAGGCGGAAGATTCAGGAGCTGTTTCACGTGGAGCCCGGTTTGCAGAGGCTCTTCTACAGGGGCAAGCAGGTAAGCCCTCCCGCCCAGCTGCCTGCCCGCCAGCACCTTTGTTCCTGACTGGTCCGGGCACCCGGCCCCTGCAGCCACCAGCCCAGACAGACTCCCCCCCTCGTCCGGTCCCGCTTCACGTCTCCCGGAAGGAGAAGTCTTACAGCAACCTCAGATGCTTGCGAGAGGGAAGGAACAAAGGCCGGACTCGCACGTTGACACGCCAGGCTGGCGGCTGGCACTCCTATCTCTAGTGCTTGGGCTTTTAAACTTTTGTTGTTTTAAAAAAGCTTGTTGGGAGATAATTTCTAAAGGAAGCAGTCGGAGGTAGCCAACAGGGCTGAGGAATTTCAAGGACCGAACCACAGAACGAAGGCGTGTACAGTTAAGGAGGACGGGACCAGGTTTTTGTTTTACAACACACCCTGATTGCCCACAGCCTGCGCCCGTTCAGCGTCAGACCCTGTCCAGGGTGTGGGATGAGAGAGCTGGAGTAGTTTATTCAGAGTCCGGATGGAGCGCGAGGGGCCGGAGTTCTGGCCACTCTGGGCCAACCTGGAGGAGGGGGTGGTCTCTGGGGGGGTCCCCGCTTACCGCATTTCTACGCTGTCTCCCTGGCGCCCTGTGCCACCAACGTGGTCATTGTGCTAACAGCTGCTGCGCTTGGGACGCTGTATCGTTGGCACCTGGGGGTTTTGCTCCTTTGATGGGGACTTGGGTCCATGCAGCAAGTGGGGTTTCCTGAGTGGGCCAAGATAGGCGGCTGCAGGTTCAGGTTTCGGCTGCTGGGACCGGCTTGGAGTCGGTGATTGTAACTTGGTGACAAGACTGGGACTGGATAGAAAGTCTCAGTCCAACTCGATTTTGTGTGTCTGACTTTGTTGTTGTCGTCGAATTTTGAGGCGGGTGCTGCTGCCATCTGCTGTCTAGATGGGTAACAGACGCTGGGCGCTTGGCCCGAGGTCTGGGGGCTGGGAGGATCCTGCCCGCCCGCCCGCGCACTCCACAGGAGACTTGATGATTAATTTCTTGGGGAAGCTGCGCGTTGGAAAATCTTCCTTAGCCTCCTTGCTAGGAAACCGAGGACTCACGAAGATCTTAAGAACTTGGTCTGTCTAGGTGTGGCGGTACGCACTTGTCCCCTCACTCTGCCAAGCTGAGGGAGGATCAAAAGTTTGAGCCCAGCTGGGAAACTTAGCTAGACCCTGTCTCAAAATAAAAAGGGCTGGGAAGGAATGGAGCTCAGTGCAGAGGCCTTAGTACCACTCCAGTACTAAGTACTCAGTCCCCAGTACTGCCAGAAAAAAAAAGCCCAATAAAAAGAAGTTGATGGAAGCAGCCCGGGGACTGTACTGCAGCAGATGGTGGCAGTACAGCTGTGGCCCATGCAGAGTCAGGCTGCATTCCAGGGGAGCTCTGCGCTGCGCGCCCTCCCTCCGTGGTGGCTGCTTTTTTTTTTTTTTATTCTTGGTATCCCAACAGAGTTTTGACTGCCAGAGTGTTGCTGTGTAGCTCAGGCTGGCCTTGAACTCACTAGGTAGCCCTGGTTGACCTGGGACTCAGATGATCCTCCTGCCTCAACCTCCACATCCTGCTTTGATTACCATTCTGATTGGCTCCTGGTGTGTGGGTCCACGCAGGAGCTTTCATCTCACAAAGGCCTCGGAGAGCCAGGTGTGCCTGTTGGGCTCGTGTGGCTGGCACTCTCTCCTCAGCGTTAAGGAGTGAATATTACCTGGTGTCCATTCTGTGCCAGGCACCGAGCCCAGGTTTAGCTTCGACACTCTGAGTGTGCAGAAAGTTCAGAGGAGCCATGAACACCCATACACACCCACCACCTTCACTTTACCTACCTTGGCATTTCACTGTACTTGTTTTTGTGTTTTTTAAGACAGAGTCTCACTAAGTAGTTATGTAGTTTGGGCTGGCTTTGAACTCACTAACCCAAGCTGGCCTCCAATTTGAGGTGATCCTCCTGCCTCAGCCTCCCAAGTGCTAGGATTACAGGTGTGCACTTGGCTCTTACTCGTTTATCATGTAGCACTCCTTGTGCTGTCTCCATTTGCCAGTCCATTTTAGCTTGTTCCCATCATGTCTTTTTTTTTTTTTTTTTTTTGAGACAGGGTCTGCTGTGCGGTTCAGGCTGGCTTTGAGCTAACTTTGTAGCCCAGGCTGATCTTGAACTTGCAGCAGTCCTCCTGCCTCAGCCTCCCGAGTACTGGGATTACAGGCGTGTGCCACCATGCCCAGCTCCCATCATGTCTAAACACCTGGTGTGCCGGTGGTTCCCTGGAATTCATTTTTCCTAGTTTGGCTGCTTTTTTTCCCCTAGTACTAGGGATTGAACCCAGAGCCTTTGGACTGAGCTACATGCTCAACCATTTTTTTTTTTGAAACAGGGCCTCATGTAGTCCGGGCTGACCTTGAATTCCCAGTGATTCTCCTCCTGCCTCAGCCTCCTGAGCACTGAGATTACAGGCATATGCCACCATGTGGCTTAGTTTTCATTTTTAGGCAAAGCTTACTAGGTTACCCAGCCTGATGTCAAACCTATGATTCTCCTGTCTCAGCCTCCCAGAGTGCTGGGATGACAAGCACATTTGTGTATCTAGGGAGATGTATACATGTTCAACAGATGAAGAACTGAGACAAACATCTATATTCATATCATCCAAACTCCATCTTCCTTCCATTTATTTTTAAATTTTATTTTATTGTCTTTTTGAGACAGAGTCTCGCTATGCAGTTCAGACTGGCTTTGGTCTCACTTTGTAGCCCAGGCTGGTTTCAAACTTGCAAGGATCCTCCTGCCTCAGCCTCCTGAGTACTGAGGTTACAGGTGCATGTGCCACCACGCCCGGCTTCCTCCTTGCATTTATAATGGAGTAAATACAAGTGTCTTTCACATTTGTGGCCACTTATGGCGAAGTGACAATAGGGACACACGTTTGCACAGTGTGAGTCTTTAACGATCCCAGGATGTCGGGATGCTCAGACCTGGCCATGATCCCGACCCTGTGGCAGCCTACCCAAGCCGGGGCAGCTAGGACCCCATTAGTAGTCAGCAGAGGAACACAGGAGGTTTCCCAAGTCTCCGCCTCCTGCCCCCTTCCCCAGGAGGCAGCTCTGTCGGGAATGTGCAGGTGCTTCCCTGTTCCGAGGGAGGGAGCTCAGCCTCAGACCGGTGACACCACTTCCCGAGGTCATCCGGCTGGGAAGTGACGGGAGGCAGGACGATGGCAGCAGGGTCGGGTGTGAGCTGGGAGCCCAGCGGGGTCTGCACCCGAGCTGGGCCGACCCTGGGAGAAACCAGCCCGACGCCTGGGCTGCGAGTGGGGGCGCAGGGCCTGGCGCACACTGACCAGACAAGCGTGCACCCCAGGCTACCCCCTCTCTTTTGTGTGGCCTGGCAGCCCAAAGTCTGCAGGGAGGTGGGCTGTTTTCAGGAAGTGGCGATCTGCTTTGGGTGAAGCGGGTGGCCATTATGTCCCCCAATTGGTGGAAATGCGTGCGCGGGCGCCTGCTCCCGCTCAGGCTTCGGTCGGTGGCCGGGGTGAAGGAGGCAGGCGATGGCGGCATGTTTGCTTTTTTAGCTCCCCGTCCCTAAAAATAACAGCGGTCCTTGCTCGGGTCCAGTGTGGTTTTCTGGGACCCTCCCCATCCCGAGGCCCCTGGCCACCGCGCCAGCTTCCCTGGCTCCCTCCGCGGACATGGCTGCCCGTGGGCCCCCACGTGGCCTTGTGGGGACCCTAATGAAGGGTTGAGGAGGTGCTGGCTCGCAGCCATCACGTGTTTAGCAAAGTCTGAACGGCACCTCATGCACGCTGGGGCCAGGCGTTCTCTGGGCGCGTTCTCTGAGCGCTCCTGAACACCGCAGGTGGTGAGCTGCGTCCCCAGCCTCCCTCCAGGAACTCCTCCGCGTGGCAGCCGCGCGCAGCCGCGGTCTCCAGGCATCTCCCAGTTGAAAAGGCGACTTACTTCCGGAAGGTGGCTGGATTGGCCGGAGCTGTTTTGACCTCACTGTGAGAGGCCTGTCAAAATGCTGGCCTAGGGTGACTTCGGATGGGTGGGTGACTGCTCTTGTGTGCTGCCTCCTTGAGCTGGCCCTTGTTTTCCCTGTGTGGCGGAAGTGAGGGGTCAATTAGGATAGCCACCTCTCACCCCAGGCGTGGTAGGGAGGTGCTTCCACCTGCAGCCACCCATGGCCTTTCTCCCGGCTACAAGCCTGCAGTGCTGTCGGGGGCAGGGCAGCCAAGCCCGCTTTCAGTTAATGGCGGGGCAGTAAACTTGGCTTTTTTGCTGCATTTCTGTTGAGACTTATCCCTGCTAGCAGAGCACAGAAGCTGCCATAGACCACAAGTAAATGTCCGTGTCCTCAATAAAGCTATATTTGTAGCCATGGCTGATGGTGGGTATCCGGGGCCCCAGCTGCTAGGGGGGCTGAATCAGGAGGGTCTCACTTGAGCCTGGGAGTTTGAGGTCAGTATAGGAAACAAAAGGATCTTATCCCCCCGCCCGCCCTAAAAAAGCTGAGTGCTATGATGCATACCTGCCATCCCAGCACTTTGGGAGGCTGAGGCAGGAGGACTACCTCAGGTTTGAGGCCAACTTGGGCTACACGGTGAGTTGAAGGCCAGTC